CCTCCCTTCCACTCTCTCTAAAAAAAATTCAGTGGAAAAAATACCCTCCCGTAAAGGTTAACAAACAAACAAACAAAAAGAGTGAGGCTTGGACACTCTCGGTGTGTACTTGAGCCGGCAGTGCTGTGGTGTCAGAGCGAGCAGTGCGTGAGTGTTGGAGGCTCTGAGGGAGAGGAGGCTGGAGCGGGTAAGCAGGGGCTAGGTTGAGGAGGGACTTGTTTGCCGCGAATTGAAGGGACGTGCTCAAGAGTCAGGATATTGTCCTGTTGGCCGTTCCAGAGTTTCAGGGGAGTAACTTGGTCACATTGTATTTTGGAGACTCTTCTGTTGCTTCCTGGTGTGTGTAGGGCTAACCCAGAAGCCTGGAGACCGATTTCATGGGTAATTTTTAGAGGAAAGCCAAGGGAACAGACCAAGGAAGCTTGTTGAGTGAGTGACATGGGTGAGAACAGAAGCCAGGCTGATAGATTTTAGAGATTGTCCCCATTTCAGGGGAGAGAGGGTGATTTATGTAACCACTGCCAATTCTTTCATTAAATTTCTACCAAGAATTAATAAAAATCCTATCTTCTCTGCATTTTAACCAAATATCTGGCCCCGATAGGAAAGGGAAGGCTGTCTGTCTCTTTAAGTGTTGACCTAATTATTCTAGCAGTTCCAGGGAGTTGTGAAACATTTGTGGGAGGGAGAGGCTGGGTTTTTTTGACACCAGGCAACACCCTCCAACCAGTTTAGCTTTGCTCAAACAAGAGTAGGTAGACTGAGAAGCAGGGTTGTACATTGAAATAAAAGACTTCGGCTCTTAGGCCTTTTAAAAACTCTTTTCTTTTTAAGGAACCTTCCATTAAAGAAACCCTACATTAAGTGATTTCCAAACTTTTTGTAATTTGATTCCTTTTCCAGCTGAAGTTTCAAGATTCTTCCCCATTAGGGAGAATGGTCTGTAAAACCACACAGAGAACGTAACAGATTGATTGAGCGCCACCTGCTGGTTTTATTTTAACGGGCAAAGAGGTGGTGCTTGGAAATCTTTAAGAATTTGCATGTATCTTAGTGTTACAAAATCATGAAGCTGGAAGTCAAGGTGAATTTTGATGATTGTTAATAGTAATATTTTAAATAATTGCTTTGTGTAGCGTTAGGAAAGGTAGTGCTGTACAAATGAAGAAGGCAAGTTCTAGGGATTTCACTCACCCATGTTTTTGTCTGGCAAAGGATTAGCCTGATGGAAATAAAAGGTAACTTTACATGTCAAATATGTTCTAACATTGAAATCAACTGGTCTGTGTATCTGGAATGAATTTAGTTTATGCCAAAAGCTAAGATTTTCTTTAAGTGGTTTCCTTGTCTATTCTCGTTTTCCTTGTTACGATACTGCTGTGGGATAAACCTTTCTAGAACATTTGCTGCTGATAACATGGCATTTTCTACCCCGCTTCCCCCAATTTCCTCCCAGCACGTACCACACAAAGCTGTATTTTTTCTTGTCCATTTAGGTTAAAGTACGAATCGTTCTTTATTTTAAAAAATTGGAAAACATAGGAAAGCCTGGAGTATATTAAAGTTGGCCGCAATCACTGTTTAGGAATAACGGCTATTAAAATTTTGGTGTCTCCTTTTTCTTTTTTCCAAGTGTGTGTTTTGAGCATTTGCTACGTATTCTAGACAAAAGGGACAGTTCAGTGAATAAAACATGCTCACATGGGGCTTAATTCTGATAAATAATATTTATTTATTGAGATATAGCTGACATATAACATTGTTTTAGGTATACAGCATAATGATTTTGGTGTGTGTATGTAATTTGAAATGGTCCCCACAATAAATATAGTGAATATATCCATTACCACATACAGTTGCAGCATTTAAAAAATAAATATTTTTATTGATTCCAGAGAGGAAGGGAGAGGGAGAGGGAGAGAGAGAGAGAGACATACATCAATGATGAGAGAGAATCATTGATCGCCTGCCTCCTGCATGCCACACACTTGAGGATCAAGACCACCATCTGGGCATGTGCCCTTGACCGAAATCGAACCCAGGACCTGTCAGTCTGCAGGCCGAGGCTCTATCCACTGAGCCAAACCGGCTAGGGCTGCAGCATTTTTTTATTATAACTTTTAAGATCTCTCTCCTTGGGACTTTCAAATATATAATGCAGTGTTCTTAACCAGTTAAAACTATGGGCATCATGCTGTACATTGCATCTATTGTAAGAATAGCACTCTGTTTCTTGAGTTGAGATTATTGGAGAAATAGAGGCGTAGATGCATTCTCTTCTGGGGTTGGGTCCAGCTAATATGTTAATCAAGAACGTCTTGAAAGTTGCCCTTGTTAATAAGTGTATCTGTTGTAGTTAGAAACGTGACAGACTTGTAGACTGGGCAGCCAGATTAATCTATCTATTCCACGGGGGCTGGCCTTCCTTAGGCAGCAGAATCATTTGCCAGGGGTATCCCTCAAGGAGGGTGTAATTAAAGCAACCCCCTCAGCAAAATTTCTTACTTAGGATCTGGTTTTCGTTTTTATATTTTAATCACCACTCCGCTTGCTTAATCTCTCAAGGCCATCTGAAGTAATAGTAGGTGCCTGGTACTTAAGCAGTAAAATGGGAGTCACGTGGTGGAAACTCAGAGTAAGAATTTTTGTTATTTACTGTCAGTGATTTTATCAGAATGCAGGGGAAGCAGGGACTTTAAATCCAGGCCCCCTTGGAATCCATTTCAAGTGGCTTTAAAGTGACTGAGCCTTCTGTGTTCCATTCTACTTCATATTTGGGGTAGTTTGACTTAATGTAAAAAGAAAAAGAAGAAACTATTAAATACAGCTATGAAAGCAATTTGAAACTAACTTACTTGTGCCTTGGGAATGAAAAAAGGTTGCTATTGCGAGCTCTGTTAAAAGGATTTCAGCTACCTATTAACCGATTCTCCTGTCCCCAGTTAAAAGAAGGGAGAACCTGGAGAGAAAATCCTTGATCTAGAAAAGGAAGCCATGTTCTTAGAATTCAGGTTAGATGTCTAATTGAGAAAAACTTCTTTTCTGCAAAAGTCCACATTGTAAATAATTTAGGTTTGAGGACCAGGGAGTCTGTAGCAACCACTCAGCACTGCTGTGGCCTGCCCTTTGTAGTGCAAACGTAGCCATAGACAGTATGTAAGCAAATGGGTGTGGCTGTGCTTCAATAAAACTTTATTTTTTTATTTTTTAAAATATATTTTTACTGATTTCAGAAAGGAAGGGAGAGGGAGAGATAGAGACATCAATGATATGTGTCGTTCGTTCTGGCTTCGTACTGCTGCATTCTACAGATCTGAGCGCCTACCTGGCACAGGGCTTTGGGGAGTGTTCTGAACTGTGTTTCCACAATCAACCTACTGCAGCATTTCTGTTAACAGCCTGATCCTAGGTTTGACTTTACGAGTTTTGTGTTCAGTTTTTGGTAAAACACTTCCTGCTGCTCTGTTCTGCTGCTGGGCTTGCTTAGTTGTGGCCACAGGGTGGCGTAGTTCTCCTGTGGGCGTGGCTCTCTTGTTGCTAAAATGGAAAGGCTTAAAACATACTGTAAGTAATGAGAATTCTGTCCCCTACTTAACCTGGCATGGCTTCCTCTGAATTGGTTTTCCCGCTGTCATTATTAAGATTTACATAATACTGAACTGCAGTGCTTTAAATCTCAGTGCTTTAAAATTTCTTGTTTATGGTTACAACATGAATTATATAATGTTGATGATTGGGAGAATGGTAGTTAGGGCTGTATTTCAAAGAATATGTTTAATTTAGCCCCTGACCTCAATTTAAAAAATTAACATGTAAAACTAATAAAAGAATATCTCTAAATAGTTGCAGAGTCGTGAGCAGAGTTATTGGCCCAAGATTTTTGTCTAACTCCAAGAGTTTAGTAGTGGGGTGTATAAAGCAGAGTAGGGATTCCAGATGGTCAGGAAACACAACTTGTAAGAAAAACAACCCTCCCCATCCTTATAGATTAAGAATATTATCATAAAGCTGATATGTCCCAATAGTTTTTTTTAAATGGTGGGGCAAAAGTAGGTTTACAGTTGTTCGTACAATCTTACCTAATAATAGACAAACATGTAAATTGACCGTACCTTCGCTACACTAACCAGCCAATCAGGAGAGTATGCAAATCAACCCAACAAAGATGGCGGTTAATTTGCATACGTAGGCTCCAAGTGGTGGAGCGAAGATTGAAGCTCCGGCCAGAGCAGCGAAGACAGAAGACTGAAGGCGGCTCCGGCTGGAGCAAAGGCCTGGGTCCCGGGTGCCGGAGGAAAACCGTTGCTGGCAGCCAGGAGAAGGGAAGGCCTATTACACGAATCTCTTCATGCAACAGGCCTCTAGTTAATAAATAATAATACAAGAATGAACTGTTTTTGTGTACTCACACCTGTAAACCCCCTTTGGCCTCATCCTGTTTTAGCTGCAAGGAGAGAGGTATTATCTTCATTTATGTGCCCAAGCTTATGCTCTTTGCACTCGACCATTACCAGGCCAGCGCTGTCAGACGCCCCTGCCCTTGCTGGGAATGGTAGGCTCGGTAATGATTTCTAGGGGCTAGGATTTAGAGAATTACTCCTGCAACTGGAACACAGAGGTTAAGGGTAATTCAGCATAGGCCTCCTCCATCCTCTCTCTCTTATTTTTGGATTTGTCTTGATTTCTCTCCCCCTCCTCATTCCAATTCATCAAGATTTAAATATACCGTCTGTTATCTTGTTAGTTTGTCTGATTAGCTGCAATAAAATGTAGGCCTAAAGGGGACAGAAGTCTTATTTTTAGGTCACTTTGTATTCTCAGTGCCTGGAATATTGACTGGATGCCAGTGCTCAGTCAGTGTTTGTGTTTGTGTAAACCTCCTAGAACGGGGCACAGTTGAGATGATTCATGTGATTCTGCCTTAATTGTGGTGTTTTGTAAAGATAGACTCCCAAGGGGAACCCTACTAATGCCTCCTTGCTCATCTTTCCCTTTCCTAGGGCGACTGTGTTGTTACTGTATTGCTCGCTGAAGAGGACAAAGTTGAGGATGATGTAGTGTTTTACTTGGTGTTTCTGGGTTCTACCCTCCATCACTGTACAAGTACCCGGAAGGTCAGCTCTGATACGCTGGAGACCATTACTCCTGGTGAGTATTTGCGTTGAATCTTCACTAGCCTTTACTAGTTCTCTAACGCTTTTATTCTGTGTTCACTAGTATGGCGTGATGGGAAGAGTGAGTCAGGGTGATAGAACTATGGTCACATCTTTATTTTTAAATACATTTTTAAATTAACTATTTTGATCATACCTTGCTTGTTCCACAAAAATTGAAGCCTAACTCAAAATAAATGAAATAAAATGAAAAGATAAAAACCAGGCTCAGCAAAAATATTAATTTATTGGAATGCTGAGGTTTGGGGAAACGAAAGCTCACTCGAAGGTGGACGCTCTCACGTGGTCACTGTGAGACTGCACACCTGGTTCTGTCACAGAGGTCAAAACGGCAGCAACACATTCCGCAGTATCCGTGGGGGGAAGGCTTGAAAAAGCTCCGTAAGAGCCGGACTTGCACCAAATTAACAAATTATAGTTATGGTAGAATGACTACTTTCTTGCTGTTACATTTATAATTTTAACAGTTAAAAGAAAAATGTTTACTTACTTTTTTTTTTTTTTACAAAGTCATTGCTGTATCCATGGAAATAGCTGATAAAATAATGGCTACCTCTTGACCTATCCTAACACCCGAAGATGCATTGATTTGTGTTTGGAGATGAGCTGCTTGCCTTAATTGACCTTGCTTCAGTGTTAATAATTGGCCAATTTTTATCAGAAAACAAAAGCAAACACATTGGGGGAATCTCTACAAAGTGTTGACAATTGAACTATTTTTCTTTAGAGAATAAAATAGATTTAATTTAAATGGAAATTTTACTAGTGTTTTTATATAACCCTGGTTCCACTTTATTAAAATAAATGCTGTAAAAAATTATTCAATATCTGGTCTTGCCAGTATTGAATCAGATTGCCAATTTTTTGTTGCTGGGCCATTTTATATAAGTTAACTTCATATCTGATACTTACCAAATCCTGGAAATTATACCACATTCAAGAACTGGGATAATGACAGAAATCTGTATTTATCCTTCTACTTGGCAAAAACGATTTTTAAAAGTATAGGATTTAAAGATTCTGGGCAATTGTGTGAATATTTCCCCCCCCCCCCCCCCAAATTTTAGGGAGAGGAAATTTAACAAGGACTTCAGGATAGATACTGATTTCTTTCTAAAGAGTATTAAGTATCCTCCTCTGTAATTTGAAGCGGCACTCCTCTTGTTTTCTGTGATGTGTATCATGTCCGAAAGGCTGATCTGGAGGTGGAGGGCTGCGCACTAGCAGGTTCCTGTAGTGTCACCATTGGCTAGCATTTTAGTATGCGGGGTGACGGGGAGCAGCTCCTCAGTGGGGAGTATCTGATTGAGAAAGGCACGGAGGCAATTTTTATAAAATTATTCCTTCCTGAAGTATACACACTTTAGGAGTAAAAGTTTGGGGGCAGAGAGAGAGAGAGAGAGAGAGAGAGAGGAAGCAAGCATCACCCACAAGGCGAATGCAAGTAGCTGTAAGAGAAAGGACAAATGTAATGGGTGTAGCCTTGGGCCCTAGCTGAGATCCTCAGTCACGAGTACCAGGAGAGTCTGGCCTCTTGGTTGGAGGTGGATATGCCCCACAGGTCCTTCACCTTCACTGGTATGTGATTTTTAATTTTTTTGTATTTTTTATTTCAGAGAAAGGGAGAGGGAGGGAGAGAGAGAAACATCAATGATGAGAGAGAATCATGGATCGGCTGCCTCCTGCACGCCCCCTACTGGGGATCGAGCCTGCAACCCGGGCAAGTGCCCTGACCGGGAATCGAACTGTGACCTCCTGGTTCATAGGTCGACACTCACTCACTGAGCCACGCCAGCTGAGCAGGCGTGTGATTTTTGTCAGTTTTGGTCACTGGTGTATGCTAAGAAAGGCTTGTGTTAGGAATCCCTGCCACACGATGGCACAGTGTTTTTACTGTGTCCCAATTCATTCTGGTTCTTAGAAGTCACTCTCCTAGAAAGCTGTGCACTTGTGCAGGCACACAGTCGCGCACACACTCGTGGGCACACACACATGCACTCTTTCTTTTGAAAAATGCAAAGGGGTCTCTTCTTTCTTGAATTGAGTTCTTGGCTCGGGCAGGGGCCTGAGTTCTTGGCTCGGGCAGGGGCCTGTGCCCTCTTTCCAGAGCTACCTTTGATCATTTCTGTGCGTCAGTGAGCCGCATTGATAGCCTCAGATTTCCTGTCTGCTGTGGGCGGTGTCAGATTAGTCAAGATGCTTCATGGAAAGTCTGTGCTTGCTCTGTGCATCCCAGTTCCTGGACAGATGTGCAGTCTGTGTCCCTGCGTGCTCCCTGCTCACGTGTGGGACTAGCTCTGCAGTCCTGGTCAGTTTGCTGACTACAGGAAGAAAAAGAGCTTTGTGCCTTGTTCTTGCTGTTCATGTCATGTTTCATACCGACTGCTGGCTCTGGTGTGTGTTTCGAGTTTGCTGTGTGTTTTGCTGTCCATGTTTTGTAATATTTTTGTTTTTACTAATGAGATGATTGATTGACCTTCCAAAGGCAGCAACTTCCTGATGTTAGTCTCTAATCTTTTATTTGGAGGGGAACAAGACATTTCTAAATTGTCTCCTTAAAAAACACACAAAAAAACACACACACCTTGCCCTGGCTGGTTTGGCTCAGTGGATAGAGCATCGGCAGGTTCAATTACGGTCAAGGGCACATGCCTGGGTTGCGGGCTCAGTCCAACATGCAGGAGGCAGCCAATCAGTGATTCCCTCTCATCATTGATGTTTCTATCTCTCCCTCACCCTCCCTTTCTGAAATAAATAAAAGTATATTTAAAACACACACACACACACACACACCTCTTTGACTTAAGATATTGATATTATTTCTTCTATTTTCTCACTGTTTTGCTTGTTTCCTGGTGAAAAGTTTCTAATGACTTGTGTTGTTTATAAAGAAGTTGTAAAGGATTTTAAAAGTAATCATTTCTTCTTTTTTTAAGTATATTTTTATTGATTTCAGAGAGAAAGGAAGAGGGAGAGAAACATTAGTGATAAGAGAGAATTATTGATTGGCTGCCTCCTGCACACCCCTTACTGAGTCATACCAGCCGAGCAAAAGTAATCTTTTCTTGACTTACCTACAGTTGAAAGACTGTGGTGCTCGGCCAATGTGGCTCAGTGGTTGAGTGTCGACCTATGAACCAGGAGGTCATGGTTTGATTCCCAGTCAGGGCACATGCCCGGGTTGTGGGCTTGATCCCCAGTAAAGGGCATGCAGGAGGCAGCCGATCCATGATTCTCTGTCATCATTGATGTTTCTCTCTCTCTCTCCCTCTACTTGCCTCTTAGAAATCAATTAAAATATATTTTTAAAAATACTCATGTACATACAAACACGGTTTACACACCAAATTTGGGCATCCGTCATTAGGCTACCAAAAACTTGTAGGGGTGCATACTTGTGCATATCATCTCATCTGGTAGAGTCTGGGTCTGAAGACTAAAAATTTCCTTTAACCCTGTTTAACCACTTCAAAGGGAAGAAAAAGACACTATTTTTCTATTTTCCACCATTGACTAATAATGCAGCCTTTCTGTGTGGAGGTGTGCAGAGTGGGTCTGGGCTTGACTGAACCAGCAAGCACTTCAGGGTTCCTTTCTGGAGAGCCAGCCGGTCAAACAAAGTCCCAATTGTTCCATCCCCAGCAGAGAAGGCCCGGATGGGATGTGTGCCGCTTTTAGCTGAACAGGAAATGAAGTCATTCTTGGGCCATGCTGCAGCTGTTTGTTTATCTGTAGCAATATTTCGTTTCCATGGCGACGGCTGCTTCATGGAGTGATAAGAGACCGTGGAAAAGCTCTTCCACCCTCAGGAGCACACACCTCCTGACCTGCAGGCTAAAAAAATGCTTTGCAGAGGATTTGCAGAGGACCGTCAGCAGTTAAATTTTTTTTCTTGTGTTTTTGTTTATTCTGCATTCTTCCCCTTCCCTTAATTTTTTCAGTTCTGCCAAAGGCAACATCCAGCTCAGAAGCTTCACGGGCCATTTCCAGAGCTCTTTGCAGACTCTTAGGGCTGTTTTCTGGAGTGTTTAGCATTTAGTAACGAATAATAATAACTAACAGTTGTAGGTACCTGTGTTATGTCTGGTGATAGCATACCTTTGTGTACAAGCGAACGGGCTTCATGGTTGAATGACTTTTTCAGGAAAACCCAGACTGTCTGCCATGGAGGGCGAGATTCAAAGCTAATATTTTCTGACTCTACAGCTGCTGCTTTAGGACCCCTTCCGTTTATTTCATCCAGTTAGGAACAGCCCTCTCCCGCCCCATAATTGACTTTATATTCTGTTGTAAATGAGCGGGACCTGCCTGTGGGATAACTTCAGAAGGCGGAGTAGGTCATGTTTCTTTAACAGCTTAGCTCTCTTCTTTCCCTCCGAATCCCCTGGGCGAACAGCCAGTTTCTCAGAACTTCCCTTTTTAAAAAGACCCGTGATTTTTCTTTTCCTTCGTTACTAGAGAATTGAGTGGAAGGAAAACACCACGGAATTGGCTGGAACCTTGCTACTCTTCTCTCCATTGCAGCTTCTGTTTCACATAAAAAGAAGTTAAATGGTGATTATCGTATTGGATTGGCTATTTTGGAATTGGATATCACATTGAATTGGCTATGCAGTGCAGATGTAGACACCTAGCACTTCTGTGTGCACGAAGGCCCTCAGGAAATGAATGGCCCATGCCGAAGTCATGGCTCCAGAGCTAATTTATGGCAGCCAGAGGTCTTCTGTGTGCATATGCAGTGATTTTAGCTTATTGTATTATAGACCCATATCACCTTGTTTTGAAAGTGTTGATTTTTTTCTCTAGATGCTTCATCTGAGAGGGTAGGAGGATTAAAAAATAATCTTAAGAAGCACTTGAGCCTAATAGGAAACATTAATGTGAGAGAGGTGCCCGGCCAGCCTCGTGTGGTTGGATTCAGACGGCAGGGTGAGGCAGTTTATTCTTCATCAGTAGTAACTCTTCCAATTTGCTCCATTTAGCGAAGACTAATCCAGGAAACCGTCCGTTCTCCAGTCCTCTTTGAATCCTCAGTTTTTCTTTTGAAAAAGAAGCAGGCCTATAATCATATCAAACAAATTCCAGATTTATGGCACTGTTCGCCTAAGATGATTCATAGTTTCTCCTCTAGATTGTGAGTTCATGTCTGAAGGGGAAATACTGGGCTGACAATCAGATGGCTTCTCTTACATATCCCTTTCATGGCCTTTTCTGACATTCTACCTCCTCTAATATACAGTTTTATTTTCACTTTCTGCAAAGAGAGCTGCCAGTAGTTCACCCAGCCACTTTCTAAACAAATTCTTCTGCTAAAGCAGCAAAAGAGACATTGCCTACACTGCTGAGCACTTGGCTTGCACACATACCTCATACCCTCACCTTCTTCTGTTTATCTCCCCTCGTTTGTCCCCACCCATCCTAGCAACGTAAACAGTCATTTTAGCAATTCCAGCTAGATTTCTGCGCAGATACGCTGCTTCTGTACTCTCTAGTCAGGAGTCAGGTGGTATTGCTTCCCCATTGCCATTGCTGTGTGTGTGTGTGTGTGTGTGTGTGTGTGTGTGTGTGTGTGAGAGAGAGAGAGAGAGAGAGAGTGGAATATGGTCTGAACTCTGGGTATATCCAGAAGGTGACGTTGCAGTGCCATAAATGCTATTAATTTTGGTGGCATTGCAACTCCCTTTCTGGTTCAAGGTTTCAGGTTTCTCACCTTTGCACAGTGTGGGGAAGGAGACTGGTAAGAAAAAATCAGGTTTCTCACCTTTGCACAGTGTGGGGAAGGAGACTGGTAAGAAAAAATCAGGACCGTTCATTTTATTTTTTTAACTATATTTTTATTGATTTCAGAAAGGAAGGGAGAGGGAGAGATAGAGACATCAATGATGAGAATCATCGATTTGCTGCCTCCTGCAGGCCCCCCACTGGGGATGGAGCTCACAGCCTGGCCATGTGCCCTGACCCGGAATCGAACTGTGGCTCACCCACTGAGCCACGCCTGCTGAGCCTGTATGTTTCTTATAGAACCCATTCCATTGTGACTTCGCAGTTATCTGCAGCTTGTTTGATTCCTGTTTGTAGACCGGAAACCTCTGAAGGGCTGAGACGTACCTTCTTACTCATCTGTACCTTCTAATCACAGTTCCTGGGGCTTGGTGGCTGTCCAGCTATTGTTAGATGTTACAACAGTTGAAAAGGTATTCTCACTTTCTGCCAGGAAAACACCAAGCCTACTCCCTGACTCAGTCGACTTGTTTCTGCTGACATGGTTGTCATAGGTAATTAGGTTGGCTGCCCTTCAAAGAAAGATTCAGGTGTTTTCCCCCTCATTTTATTGCATAAGTTCAAAGTACGTATTGAGCTGAAATGCATACATGGGTGTACACACATGCACACACACAGAGGGTCCCTTCGTTTCTTAAAACCTCCATAGAAAGAATTCAACTCCGAAGGCAGTGGGAGTGTCTGGTAGAGTTGTGTGTCTATAGGGAGACTGATCTTAGAGGTTCATGAACCTGTTATTTTGGCCTAATAGTTACACTGGCTTCTCATTCCAAGTATTGGGCGCCTTTCAGGCAGGGGCAAAGCTATCATTCTTCCTCCTTTGGTTATAAACAATGTGGCACAGAACTCTCGCATCATCATGTATATTAGGCCATGTCCTTTGGCGTCAGACTTGAATTTGAATGATGGGCTCTGCTTCTTAATGTGTGTAACCTTGAGGTCTCAGTTCTCTCATCCATAAGATGAGGACAACACCTGATAAATACATAGCTCCTGAATTTGCTGTGTAGAGAAAATGCCTGGTATGTAGTAGGTGCTCGGTTAGTAAATACTGATTACCATTCTGAAATCACACAGCAGTGAGAGACTTCTTTTGTTACAGGGTAAAGGGCTTAAGGAGGTCCCTGGGGGAAAAGTATGTGGAAAAATCACTTTTCCTGTTCTCATTGGAAACGTGGGAAAAAAATTGCTGTTTTCTCTTGCAAAGACAACCAAAAGCATAGTTTGTTCTGTCCAAGTCTGAAACCTCTGTTCGCCTGTGCCCATGGCATGGAAAGTCAGGGTCATGGGCCACATAGAGGGTTTCACTGGGCCTCCCGCCCCGTGGAAAAGCAGTCCCTGCGTGGGAATGGACTCAGGGGAGCCATGGATGTACAGGTGCCTGCGGTTAACCAGGCAAAGCAACAGCATCAGTTCCCTCTCCTTTATTTTGTTCTCATTAGAAAGATACATTTTTTAAATATGTATTTTTACTAGAGGCCCAGAGCACAAAATTCATGCACGGGTAGGGTCCCTCGGCCTGGCCAGCAATCAGGGCTGATTGGGGCTTTCTGACTTCTGGCTGGGGCCTCCCTTCCCCAGCTGCCGGCAGCCGGCCGGGGCCTCCCCTCGCTCCATGCCGCCCCCTGGTGGTCAGGACACATCATAGTGAGCAATTGAACTCCTGGTCTCATGGTTGAACTCCCAAGGGGACACTTTGCATATTAGCCTTATATATATAGATTGATTTCATAGAGGAAGAAAGAGGGAGAGATAGAAACATCAATGATGAATCCTTGATCAGCTGCCTCTGGCACGCCCCCTACTGGGGATCGAGCCCACACCCCAGGCACGTGCCCTTACTGGGAATTAAACCATGACCTCCTGTTTCATAGGTCGATGCTCAACCACAGAGTCATGCCAGCTGGGCGAGCTTTCATTTTTTTTTTTTTTGGTTTGTTCAAATTGAACAGCCGCAGTTTGGTATATATTGAAATACTCAGAGACTGTTCAGTGCCAGACACTATGCTGTACGTATGGTGACAGCTGAGATACAGTTGTCTGCTGTTTGGTAAGGGATTACTTCATACTTGCAAACAATAGAGCTGGAAATGGAGTTTTAAGAAGTTTGGAAGATTGGTTTTAAGAAGTTTGGAAGATTGCTGTCAGAGTTCAGGGGAAGGAGGAGCTTCGAGAAGGGCAGTGAGGCCATGCGTGTCCTCTCAGCAGGAGGCGGCTAATACTGTACTGTCTTCCTGTTCCGTGTATTTTCTCAAGGTCACGACTGCTGTGAGACAGTGAAGGTGCTGCTATGTGCTTCCAAAGAGGGCCTCCCCGTGTTTGTGGTGGCGGAAGAAGACTTTGAGTTCATCCAGGACGAGGCGTATGATGCAGCCCAGTTCCTGGCCACCAGCGCTGGGAACCAGCAGGCGCTGAACTTCACCCGCTTTCTTGATCGGTCAGGACCCCCGTCTACAGATGTGAATTCCCTTGATGAGAAGGTGGCCCTCGCTTTCCGACACCTGAAGCTGCCGGCGGAGTGGAATGTGTTGGGGACCAATCAGACTTTGCGTGGTAAGAACTTAAATGACCCACAAAGACACGCTGAGTTTGGAATACTTACAGGGTCTTTTGGTTTGTTTGTTTGTTTTGTTGTAATTCTCACCGGAGGATATTTTTTCCATTGATTTCCAGAGAGAGTGAAAGGGAGGGAGGAGGGGGAGAGAGAGAGAAACAGCAATGAGAGAGACACATTGATTGGTTGCCTCCTGCACTGCCCCCACCAGGGCTGGGGAACCTGCAACTGTCAGGAATCGAACCTGAGATCCTTCAGTCCATGGGCGGACGCACAAAACAACAACAATAAAGAAACCCCCACACCGATGTTCCTCTTTGTCAGATAGGGGTTTTCCCACATAGTTGTTCTTGTGGCCGATGCCATCTACTAGATGCCATGGTTTTATATATAAATTTCAATGAAACAGCCTAAACCTGGGCTCCAATAAATAACATCCTCTTTCCTTCCCACGTTCAAATCCAGTTGAAAGATTTAGCAGGTACACAGCGAGAGGTGGAAATGTTTTTCTGTTACTGATAAAGCTGGACTGGAAGACTGACATCAGCCCTCCTGCCCGAAGGATTTGCTGTCCTTTCTACTTTATCTCTCAAAGAGCTGGACAGTCACAGGACTGCCCTTCAGTGTCCACCCAGCTTTGGTGACCGTGTTGTTTAGGGAGAGCAGACCCGAAGTCACCCCCTCTGCAGGCAGCAGATCCTGACGAGGGATGCCCAGAGGAGGCTGAGCCAGGGGCATGCTCAGTTCCTGCTCCCACAGACCCATCAAATACACGCCGATTGGTGAGGGGTATTTGCCAGCTTTGCCTCTCTCGTATTCACTGAATTTAACAGTTAAGCCTGTGATCAGCCGCAGAAATGCCGCCCCCTACCCTCAGGGGCTTACTGTGGACATGCCAAGGCAGTCCAGGTAAAACACAAAGGCATGTGTAGACTCTAAAATCAAATCAGGAAGAAATCACCTTTCCTGCCTTTTCTTTGCTTATACCATGTCCAAGAACCCTCTGCAGTGCCAAGACCTGGAGATCAGAGTGCTTGCCCTTGGGCAGGGCATGACCGCCTTGCCAGACACCTAATGTTGGGGCCAACCCCCACAGCCCCACTGTGTCTGCGCTGGCCTGGGACTGCTTATTCCGGTTGCCATTCATGAGTCTCTGTCAAGATGGGGTGCAGTAGTTACTTGTGGAGCTTATGGTGTCTTTATTAAGGTTTTGTTTCTTTAAAGAAGGCATGGGAGTTGGATAGTTTGTTCATGTTACCATATTAACAAGAAATCCATTTCACCCTGAGCAACATGGGTTTCAACTGCGCAGGCGCTCTTGTACGCATGTTTTTAGTCTACGGGTGGGAATCCACCTGCGCAGAAGGCTGACTTAGTTATATGCTAATTTTTGACTACATACGCGGTGCCCCGCCCCCCTTGTTGTTCAAAGGTCAGCTGTACTAGAAAAAACATAGCTCTGAAGCTTTAGGCGTCTCAGTTCCCCTCTCTGAGCCTTAGCTTCCTTGTCTTTAATCGGGAACTGACCAGCTTTAATATTTCTGTGGACTTTCCGTGTACTTCTTAAGCTTCTGTTGTATAATTGCTCAAGTAGTGCTAGCTCAGGTTAAAGCAAACGTGAACACTTAGGAAAACGCATTAAAATCACAGTAAGGTACCATTACACACCTATGCGGAAAGCTAAGGTTAAACATACCAAGTGCCAGCCCTAGCCGGTTTGGCTCAGTGGATAGAGCATAGGCCTGCGGACTGAGGGGTCCATGTTCGATTCAGGTCAAGGGGCATGTATCTCGGTTGCAGGCTCGATCCCTGGCCCTGGTTAGGGGTACATGCGGGAGGCGACTAATTGATGTGCTTGCTCTCTCACGTCAGTGTTTCTCTCGCTCTGTCCTCATCTTCCCTTCCACTCTGTGGGAGTGCAGAGTGATATCACCGCTCTAGGAGATGGTTTGGCAGTTTCTTACAATGTCACATGTGCATTTACTGTATGACCCAGCAATTCCACTTCTGCCTATTCCTCCTAGAGAACAGAAATCTTCCATTCACTCAAAAAATCTTCACACAAATATGCCTATGGCAGGTTATTTATAATCACCAAAAACTGGAAGTAACCCAGATCTCTCTCACTCGGCGAATATATAAACAAGCCGTGGTACATCCACAGTTGAATATTACTCAGCAATAAGAACTATTGCCATTTGCAACAACTTGGATGCATTTGAAATGCATTGTGCTAAGTAAGAAAGTAAGTGTCCAAAGGGTGTTTACTGTATGATTTCATTTATGAGAGATTCTGGAAAAGGCAAAATTATAGGCACAGAAACTCGATTGGTAGTTGCCAAGTCTAGGAGGGGGGAGCGTCTGACAGCAGAGGGGTATCTGAGGGAATTCTTTGGGTGTTGGAATGGTTCTGCATTTTGGCAGTGGTGGTTGTAAGAATCCATGCATGTGTTCCAAATCATGAGACTATACAAAAGTGAATTTTTACATACATTAAAAATAATTAAAGAACAAATGAAAATGAACAAGTTAGGGGTATACTTTGCAAGGCGAAATTCATGGAAAGGTCTTGATATATTCCTGCCTTTGAGTCAACAACTGGGAGCAGGAATCTGGTTTCAAGGGCTAGATTCGAATTCTGCAGTTTTAACTGTTCAATCAGTTGTGGATTAGAATCTACAAAGACTGAGTATTTTAAGGGCAGAGCAGCTTCAGTGGAGAGGGGCTTGCTTGCTGTCCCGGGATGAATGTAGAGGAACATTCTGCTCACGTCGAGTTGTACCTCTAATACTTTTAAAAGTTGTTTAAAGAAAGAAGGTACCAAGTGAGCTTGTTGCCTGGGATAATGAAACAGGTAAATAGGGCACTTGTTACATAACAGGGCTACTTGCTATTAAAGGCGAGGGTATTTACTGGTATTCCAGCTTAATGCTTGTACAAAGGAGTCATGTAAGATTTGTGCTTAATCCTCATACTAATTGTTCGCATGCAGAGCTTTTACTTTTTTTTTTTTCAGGTCAGTGACTCCTTTTAAAATAGCTCAGATTTCTCCTACGGAAAAAAATACATAGAGGCCTGCAGAAATTTACATATAATTTCAGGGATTCGTTGCTGCCTTGAACCGCAGGAATGAACGTGAAATTAAGAACTTCTGGTTTAGCTTTCATATTGTAAACGGGAAAGAACATAGGCAGTGGAGTCAGTTTGTTTATCTCCTGGCTTCACTGCAAGGGTTTGTGCAGAATGCTAATCTGTTTCTCAATTTCTTCACGTATAAAGTGGAGGAAAACAATTTGGATCATGTGTGCTAGTGAGCAGAGCTGTGCATTTTGAACACACCGGGGCCAATATGCAGTAGCCTTTTAGAGACAAACTTTGAGCTCTGATGAGGGAAAGGAACATGTCTTATAAGAGGAAAGAACAGCATAGTGAGACTGTTTCTCTTTTGCTTTAACTTATTTCTAAAGTTAATCCTCACTTTAAACATGAGCAAGAGGGGGTTTGTCCATTTGAATTCTTCTAAGTGTTCTTTAATCTCTAGTTGCCTAAAGCAGCCTCTATACTGTTCTTTTAGCCTTAGTTCTCCCTTAAATGCCAGTAAGCATTCATCTGGGGGGAGGGTGGATAATGGGGTAAGGGTACCTTCCCTGTGAATTACCAAGTATCAGTTGTTTTAGCTTTTTTTTTTTAATTGCATGTATGTATGTATGTATTTAGTTAGTTAATCTCACCCAAGGATATTTTTTATTGATTCTTAGAGAGAGTGAAAGGGAAGGGAAGAGACAAAAAGAGAAACATCAATGTGAGAGAGAGATAGCGATTGGTTGGCATGAGCCCCGACCGGGGCGGGGATGGAGCCTGCAACCCAGGTACATGCTCTTGATTGGAATTGAACCCAGGACCCTTCAGTCTCAGGCAGGTGCTCTATCTACTGAGCCAAATCCGCTAGAGCTTTCTTTTCTTTTTTTAAAGTATGTTTTTATTGATTTCAGAAGGGAAGAGAGAGGGAGAGAAATAAAAACAAATGATGAGAGAGAATCATTGATTGGTTGCCTCCTGCACGCCCCCTACTGGGGATGGAGGCCACAACCCGGGCATCTACCCTAACCAAGAATTGAACCAGTGACCTGTTGGTTCCTGGGTCAGTGCTCAACTGCTGAGCCACACTGACTGGGCTAGTTGTTTTAGCTTTTTAATACCTCGGTGGTGAGTGAAAATGATGAATTAAGATGCTTTTTCCCCCCCTGAAAGAACCTGGTACAGTAGCAATCAGCATACCTCTCAGGTCGGAGGGTGGGCCGATTGAAGAGTAAGGAGGAGAACATGCTGGGGACATCTCATTCTTAGTCATGGTATTGTGGGACTAGGTGAAAAGGAAAGCTAATCGTCACGGGAGGTAGGCATCCTCCCACAGAGAGAAATTTGGGTGGAGAGGAGGAGGAGACAGGCTGAAGAAAGACTTTGCTGAAAACAGCCTGTGCGTTCTCAGTTCTATGTGTCTGATGTTGGTTAATAGAACCTCAACCATAATCATTTGCTGCCTGTTTCAAACTTGTTCCATAGGTTTTCATGGAAATTTTTCCTTAGCTGCACTTGCTAGTATTTATGTATTTTTCAGCTGTCATAGCTACTACAAAAGAAAATAATGAAATATGAAAAGACTGCTGAGGGATTTTTCTCTTCACAGAGGATTACTGCTGTCTTGACTCCCAAGACAAGCAGTTTCTAGTAATGGCAGGACCTCAGCTCCACCAGGCTTTGTTGCCTGTCAAACCTTGATTCTGTCGCCAGATTACAAGTGTCATTTTTCCAAGAGCCCACATCTCACACCGGCCTTTTGTTCTCCTTCCCCCCGGGGTGTAGATTTCCTGCGTCATACGAGCTTCAGGTGTATTTGAGAGGCAGTTCAGAGTAGTAGAAAGAATGTGGATATTGGCGTCTCATAGATAGAGATTCGGAAGTTACTGTAGCCGGGCCTCTGGGTGGATCGATGGGGTAAGAAAAGTACACATAGGCTTTGATTGCTATATTGTTCACAGAACCTGCAGCGCTTTGCTTAGTTAGAAAATCTGGCAATTTGAAGAAGATGCAGCCACCTAGCATTTCATAGCTGAATTGCTCTCCGGGCACATCAGCTTTCTCTGCACATCTGGGCACGAATGTACGGGAGGTGCTTCCAGCATATGAGTAGATAGCAAGGGGGACCCAGACATTTCCTATACCTGCTCTGTGGGTCAGAGCTGGGGCAACATAGGGATTTTTCCAATTGATGGTTAACCAGGAAAACCAACCAGCCAACATATGGCCTACAAAAGAACATTACAGCATAAAGGAAATGGGAACATATCATGAGTGTTCAGATGGAAGGCTCTCTGAGTGTAATTTTCTTTAAGAAACGAATGAGAAATCAAGAAGAGATTTTCCATTTGTCCTTTAAAAGATCGAAGAAGGCAGGCTTATAATGAAATTAGAGAAGGAAGCAGCAAGGAGAAAAATAGGTTTAATGAGTATGTCAGTCAGGTTTCAGCCAGAGAATCAGAACCATTAGGGGGAACAAGTATGTATTAAGATTTATTACAGGGAGCCCAGCCGGTATGTCTCAGAGGTTGAGCATCGACCTATGAACCAGGAGGTCATGGTTCGATTCCCGGTCAGGGCACATGCCTGGGTTGTGGGCTCGATCCCCAGTAGGGGGCGTGCAGGAGGCAGCTGATCCATGATTGTCTCTCCCTCTTCCTTCCTCTCTGAGATAAAAATATATTTAAAAAAAATTTATTATCGGGAATAGCTTGCGTGATTGTGGGGGCTCACTAAGCAAGCCCCAAACTCACCAGCGTGAGCCAGAGTGTGGTCCTCAGACAGTGGGAAGGGGAGACGGAGCAGGATGGAGCTCTGGAGCATAGGCACCGCCAGCTCCCAGACACCGGCTCCCACAGGCGGGTTCTCTCTCTCCCGGGGAAACTCAGCCCTGCCTTCGAAGCCTTCCAACTGCCTCAGGCCCGCCCGGCTTCTCCAGGATATCTTCCTTATTAAATGAACTGATTAGGGGCTTTAATTACATCTGCAGAAAAGCCATCACAGTGAGGGCAAAGACGGACAGGGAATTGGCTGACATGATGCGAGGACATCCAGCATCCCGTGGCATAATTCAATTCAGACGGGGACAAAGGACCCCATTGACATCAGAGGAAATGCAGTTAGTGGTCTGAAAACACAGTTGAGTAACTCTCAGAAGAGAGGAAAAATACAAAGGAACATCAGAGGAAAAATATATAGGTACAGAGGGGAAAGAACAGAGATCAATCCTAAATTGTAGGTTTAAACTAGCATTTAAACGGATGCAAAAGGAACAAAATCAATAACTCTTCCTGCTGGATCCCATGTTGTGACCAAAATCCACTTTTTAAAGAATATGTATATTTGTATTGATTTCAGAGAGGAAGGGAGAGGGGGGGAGAGAGAAAAAAATGATGACAGAGAATCATGGATCAGCTGCCTCCTGCACGCCCCTACTGGGGATCCTAGCCCATAACCCGGGCATGTACCCTGACCAGGAATTGAACCATGACTTCCTGCTTCATATGTGGACTCTCAACCACTGAGCCACACCTGCTGGGCCACCCACTTTTTTTTTTTTGGTAAGGAAAAGAATGTGTGTGGAGCCACCCTTATAAATTAGCTCATAGATCAGTTCATAGAACAGGTGTATTAAATTGGAATGTGGAGAAGGCTTGATCCTCTTGTGGAACTGTCTCCTATTGGAGATTTTGCTCCTCATTGTTTTTTTCTAACTTTATTTTGTTTTCCCTTGAGAGCTGTTTTTCCTCGGCCACTACAGAATTGTTCATGTTGTACGTTGTGGCCTTAACTTTAGGATCTTAGGTACTTGGAGGTCGTGGTGTTCACCCACCTCGCCTTTTTGTTGGTTTGCTTTTTTGTTTTTCACCTTCTCCCCTCGCTTCTTCACATCGTCTCCCCCTCTGCAGATGGCGGCCCCCGGGAGACATTGATGCATTTTGCCGTGCGGCTGGGCCTGCTGCGGCTGACGTGGTTCCTGTTGCAGAAGCCAGGTGGCCGAGGAGCGCTCAGCATCCACAACCAGGAAGGAGCGACACCTGCCAGCTTGGCCTTGCAGCGGGGTTATCACAAGTTGCACAAGCTCCTGACCGAGTAAGTGCTCGTTCTCCCTCCCCTCCCCTCCCCTCCCCTCCCCACCAACCCCACCCCTGGCTCATGATTGTACCACCCACTTGGCATCTCGGTGTGTTTGCTCCGTGCCTTGCCTTCTGCTGGAGGCTTTGTCCGCCTGCTCCTGCCTCACTGTGAGTGACACACGTAAGTCACACCACCATTTCTCTCCCCTTTGCCTCCTGCCTGCACTGCTCTCGCCTTTTGTTATAAGTCTTGTCTGTGGGGGTAGCATTCTATTGCCAGGTGTCTAGTCGATCCCTGTCTAGTACAGGAGGAAGGAGTTTTCCGGTGCCATACCTTTTTTGTGGTATGTCTTCAACACTTGTAAGAGTTAATTAGAAGTGAATACTTTAATATAACTGCATGCGGGGAATGTACTGAACCACGGAGGTTAGGTTTGAATGTAATTTCTGTGAATAAAACCAGAGCAATCGTCTATTCGTATGAATGGCAGTAAAAAGCAACCGAGTTGTCTTGGAAATCGCTGTAGAATAGCGTGTGTGTGTGTGTGTGTGTGTGTGTGTGTGTGTGTGTATTCGGTTGTCATACAGACTGACTCTTCCGAGAGTTTTCTGAAGAAAGGCTATTAGTTAAAATACTCGAAAATAAATGCATTATAGCAGGCAACATGTTTCCATTGGAATATTTATAAAACGCAGAAATTTCAAGTACAGTTTTTATTGAATATGTTTATTGTGTTATGATCATTGTCATCTTTCTGCTCCGTAACTGAAGAATGAACCTTGGATTTCTGGTCTTTAGCAATTGAGGGCTCCTTGTAAATTAAGTCAGTATTCCCTAATTCTCAGATGTTTTGCTCACGGCAAACTTCATTTAGTTGCAGCTCATAGTTGACTATTTTTAGCTGTGAGTGTGGGACAGTGTACAATGGCCCAGAAGAGATCTCTGAATGTAATGCTACTAACTGTCATATCAACAGCTCTTTTGCTTGTTTCTGCTTTAGGTGCTACGCTTAGAGCTTTCCCAGTCGAGCCAGACAGAAGGTTCTTTGCAGGAAGCTTTGTAATGGGTGCCGTAGATACAGTGACGGTAGGAGGGGCGCCCTTCATCTCAAATGAGCGGTGGCTACTTGAGCTCCCCTACGACAGTATTCCAGAAGCGATAGGCTCCATTCCCCCGTACTTCCCATCTGGCCAGTGATTGGATTCCCTCTGCTGCTTGCCTCACGGCCTCCGGAAGACAGGCCTCGTTCCAGTAGTTGAAACCAGTGACTTACTATAACTATTAGGCGATTTCAATGCAGTTCCCCTAACTGTGTTCTTGGGGCCTGGAGTTTTTGCTGGGAAGCAGGGTTGGTTAAGGATTGCCATCCAAATGGGGAAATGAAGCGATTACAACAGCTGCATTATATGCTGGTGAGGGTGTCACAAGACCTATTGCAGCACAGCTTAAAGGAAACTAGAGTGTGTTCTTGGAGAAGAGGTCTGGCTTGCTTCATGGTGCCTCCCCTGTTACTGTGTGAAGACCACTCATTCCACAATAAGAAAGGGAAAGAAAGGGGAAGCCAGATTCGGAAACCTTCACAGAGGCCCGCATGAGGAGAGCGTGAGCGGTGCTGCAGGTCCAGCCCGACCTGGGATTCTGCTGGCTCTTCCTCTAGGCGTCGGTTCTGTCACCTAGAAAAAGTGCTGGGTCATAATTAGCCATTTAAAAAGCTTGGGGGGTGATTTTTCTCAATCCCCTAGTCTTACTGTGGTATTAGTAGACTCTGCTAGAATTTCAAGGAAGAGTGGGTTGCTTTGAGAAATAAATGAAAGAATGCTTGGAGAGCCCTAGCTGGTTTGGCTCAGTGGATAGAGTGTTGGCCCACAGACTAAGGGGCCCCAGGTTCGATTCCGGTCAAGGGTATGTACCTCAGTTGTAGGCTTGGCCCTGGTCAGGGTGCGTGCGGGAGGCAACCAATTGATGTGTCTCTCTCACATCAACGTTTCTCTGTCTCTCCCCCTCCTTTCCACTCTCTCTAAAAATCAATGGAAAAATATCCTCGAGTGAGGATTAACAGCAACAAAAGAATGCATGGAGAGTGCATAGCAGAGTGACTGACAAAAATATTCTCCCTTATTGCCCTTTTCTTAATTTTCCTCCTTTTCCTCTAGGTCTGTATCAGTTTTTCATCCATTAAGGAAATTTTTCCAAAATCTTGAAATATTTCCAGGCAGCATTTGGATGTCCCTACTTGATAAGAGTTTGAAATTATTCCCAAGTGTAATAGATATCACTTTAAAAGAATTAGTTTGGCTCTCTGACACAGGCTGTGATGTCTCGATGACTCTGGGTTGATGGCGCAGGGAACTCTAGGTCGTTAAGGAATCATTTACAATGCGGCCACCATTACAAAAGGAATACTTCTCGTAAGGATTTTAACTGTGGAGTATTAACATAAAAATGGCGAGATATTTCATTTGTCCAAAGAGCGAGTGCCAAAATGTTTGTCCTCATAACCGTCTCATTTTCAGTATCAGTTCAACAACTCTTTATTTATCGAATGCCTGCAGTGCATTGTTGATATGTTATACCTAATATTTCATTTCACCCTTATGACACCCTTTCTTATGTAGGCATTATATGTATTTTACTGATGAAATCTGAAGGCTCAGAGAACTAAAATGACGAGCTCAATGCTTTATAGAAAAGTGGTCAAGCTGCTGTTACATGCACATCTGTGGAATTCTGAGGCCCGTATTATTCCCTCTACAGAAATATGACAGATGCAGGAAGAGGCCCCTGGGATAGAGTATGACTGGCACGTGATGAGGAAAAGGCTCTACGTTCTCCATTCAGTCCTAGCCTCTCCTTGCCTGAGGGGAACGGAGTCTCAGTACCATAGTTTGACGTTTCTGTTACCCATCAGATGGGTTTAAACGTATTGTTGGTTACACTTGGCCAGTCTTTTTGTATTTCATTCCTGTGACCATTGAATGAGTGAGTAGGGTAGGTGTTACCCCTGTTTTGTAATTGAGGAAACTGAGGCCAGAGAGATGAAGTGAGTTCCCAAAGTCCTAAGGCTACAAGTAACAGAACCAGGCCCAGGATCAAAGGCCAGTGGTCTGCCCAGTTTGGGATGACACGTGTGCACAGAGCGCAGACCCAGCCTGGCAGACCCTAGGCCGTGCGTCATGGTCCACTGTGGTGGGCGATGGTGGCCCCTCTCAGAGAGTTAGTGTCTCTCGTTTCTCAGGTCCTTCTTTGGACACATTTGCACTTGAAACCTGGGTTCAGGTCAGAGGGTAGAGCAGCTCCTCAAGTGTACGTATTTCACAATGGAGCCGAGTGCAGTTGAGCAAGATGTTCTGTTAACATAGGGCTTGCCTCCTTATGGTCCCTGCAAGGACTCGACAAGTGGGTCCTTCGTAGTCCATCGGGTGCATGACCAGTTTGAGCCTTTGCTTTTCCTCAGGGGAGGAAAGAATGAAGTAAATGTACAAATGTACCTTCCACATAATAGCCAGGGTTTTTACAATATGCTTTACATTCATCTAGCTTGACTGACACCCATCTGTCCATCTGTCCATCCGTTCACTTATCCATGTATTCATCCACCCATCTTCCTGCCCTTCTTTCTCACCATATGATCGGGTCTCTGTCTCTTGGTAAAGATACGGTGCTGGAACTGGGTGGAAACTAGAAAGTGGGGGAAGGGCAGTGGCATTTATTAAATAGTGAGTATCTGTACATTGGTGCTTTCCAAGTATTCTCATTAAAATTTCTCAGCAGACATCGAAAGTGTGGTCAGATTAGTACAGTTAGTGCTGTGCTCCACAGATGAGGAGAGAGACCCAGAGAGGCCGCATACCTTGCCCAAGGCTACGTAGGCAACAGTTGCCATGGTTCACAGGCCTATTCTTTTTAAGGTTTATTGATAGAACTTTATGAGCAGTTGTGTTGGGTGACATTGTCAGTCTTTTAACGAAACTGATGCCGCTGATTCATAGATCTGGTTTTCAATGACTTGTTTGGCAAATTTCCCACTGAAGCATTTTAAGAATTTTGATATTTCCTAGTTTATTTGTGTGTGTGTGTTTTCAAAGCCATTCAAATAATAATTTCAGGATTTCTCTATCTGGCAGCATGCTGGGAAATGACAAAAGGCACTTTCTGAGGATAACCCTTGTATTTATGTAACAGGAACACCAGTTGCCATCTGTATTTCTGCTCGGCATTTTGCATAAATTCTCATATATTTTATCCTCTCCCCAACCCCTAGGGTAGTGATGGCGAACCTTTTGAGCTCGGCGTGTCAGCATTTTGAAAAACCCTAACTTCACTCTGGTGCCGTGTCACATAGAGAAATTTTTTGATATTTGCAACCATAGTAAAACAAAGACTTATATTTTTGATATTTATTTTATATATTTAAATGCCACTTAACAAAGAAAAATCAACCAAAAAAAAAGAGTTCGAGTGTCACCTCTGACACGCGTGTCATAGGTTCGCCATCACTGCCCTCGGGGGTGGGCATTTTATCCGCCTTCACCAGATGACCGCCATAGCTGGCAAGTAATGGAGCAGGAATTGGAACGAGGCTGTAACTCCCCATGGACTTTGTCACACTGTCTGGACTTTCTGAGAACATGGGTTGGTGTGGGAAGTGGGCTGCAGCAACAAAGCCGTTCCATAGTCTTGTTTTCCTTCAGTCCACTTCTCTTCTCTCCCTGCTGTACGCAGGCAAATGGCCCAGCCTATGAATGTTTCGGCCTCAGAGGTTTTCTTCAAAGAGTTGTGAGGTTATACATCTTAGCCAATGAGAACACATTCTCCATGGCAACAGCGTGTGGTTTTGAAAATATTTCTGACTTCGCGATAGACCTTAGTGGAAGGAAACATGAACCTCTGATAGGACTTGACATTTGCCTATGAGCAAATGAAGGATCAGTTGGCACCTTCCATCCTCTGAAAAGCACAGACCTTTAGGAACCATCACACATTGGTTGTTGTTGTTGTTGTTCAATTTTGAAGTTTCCTTGAAGTCATACAAGTGACTGGAAAATTTTACCTGCATTTATTATTAAGAGGAGTAAAAATTATTCTTTTTTTTTTAATTTAAATTCTTTATTGTTTCAAGTATTACATAAGTCTCCTTTCCCCCCCCCATTGACCACTCCCCGGCTGTCCCCACCCCCAAAATTATTCTTTTTAAAAATAAGAAAAGTCAATGGAAAAAATATCCTTGGGTGAGGATTAACAACAACAGAAGATTGAAGGGGAGTGTGCTTGTGAAGTTCTTAGGAATGTAGCATGTCCCTTTATTTGGAGACCCAGGAAGGAATATTCATTGGCAATAAGGTGACCCCCAGCCGTAAGTGAATGTGGCATGGCTGCTCCACATCAGTTTCTGACATACTTTTGCCAGGTCAGTGCCACCCCACAGCTGTAATGCTATCCCTTGAAACACTAGGGAATGAAAGCCCCATTTTCCCTTTTTCGGGACTAAATAGTTTAGGATGACACCTGTGTAGTTGCCTGACAGCTACCTCCCAGGCTCCTGTGCTTTTTAAATTTTTAATGTCTCATACTCAGAAACTTCTTTCTTTTCTGTTCATTAGAACTACAGCAGCCAATACCATGTAGTCACAGTTTGTTGAGCACTTTGGGAGGGCCATGCACTACGCCAACCCTTTACATGCATCTGATCTCACAATAAACTTGGTATTCTCACTTTACAGATGAGGGCATTGAGCTTCAGAGAAATGGAAGTAACTGCCCCACTCCCCTTCCCCCCCCAAAAAAAGGGGGAAGAGAGAAACCATCAGTGCTAAAATTTCTAGTGAATTTGCATGTGCATGAATCCACAACTAGCCTAGCAGTGAGTTCCCCACAAACACCTAAGATCGTGAGTAGCCTCCTGTTCATTTTAGGGTGTCACTGATTCCCTCCTCTCCAACCCCCCTCACAATTTAGCTTCTCCTGCTCCATTTCAGTGGCGTTGTGGTGGAGTTGGTAGGACTCCTTGAGGTTTGGCACTGTGATGGTGATGTGGTTTCGTGAAAGATACTGCAGTGGCCCGCAAATAAGGAACTAGGTGCTGCACTTCCTGTCAGAGGGAGACAGCAAAACACGCCTTTGGGCAGGGCCGACCTGGCCGCGGCTCTCCACCCTTAAAGCTGCAGTATGCGGCACGGACCCAGGTAGAATGGGCTTGCGATACTCGTGGTGTGTGGGCAGCCGCAAGTGAGTACAGACTGACACCTTGTTGATCTGCGTCGTCTATTCTCTGACATTCGATCTGACTTTGTTGTTGTACCTCAACAGATGTGTCTTTGAACTTCTCCCCTGAATGACTAATGCTGTTAGTACTAGAAAACATGGGTTTTTTTTCTGCAGTTGGTTTGACAGGGTTTTACAATATGTTAACATCAAATTTGAACTTTCTCGTGAGATACACCATGCTGGACAAGGTAAGAAGCAGAGGCTGGTTGGCTGTTGATTGTTGCACAGCAGTTAGGACACTGGAAAGTTGGTTGGCGTTCACTCTGGGCTTATTGGATGTTATTGTACCACTTACATAAATCTTCACTTTCGGAACCAGATGTGGATACTCAGTTTGGATGCTGTAACCCCAGTGTCTGAGGAATGGCCTCTTAATTGTGGCTTTCTACAGTTAAAAACTTGCTATGGATCCTGTAAAATTTATGATAACAAAACCTAATTCACATACCTGATGAGCTTCTCATACATATTATGTCAGACTTACAGTTTATGTTATTTGAATGTGGTCAGAGTTTGAAACTACTATAGTCTAGGTATCACTGTGGAAGTGGAAAGCCTGGGTACAAATTCTGGCCTTTCATGCACTGGCTTTATGTTTTAATGGCTACGTAATAGTCTGTAAGTCTGTTCTTTAATTTAACAAACTGCCCTCTCATTACCGACTTGGCTAGGTTGCTTCTAACTTTCAAGACTATTATACTTAAAGTTGCAGTGAATATTCTTATACATAGAGCTCTGCCAGATTTTATTAGTACTGAACACAGCAGAAAATGTACTGGCCTCAGTGTTACCTCAGCGAGGTCTTCCCTGACCCGCCGTATTTAAAATCGCAACCCTCAGACCTGCTTTATTTTTCACGTGGCTCTTGCTGTCTTCCAGAATCCTAGGTGTTTTATTTACCTGAATGCTCTTGTTCCCCTTGCTACGGGCATAAGCTCCCGCAGGACACGGGTTTTGGTTTATATCACCAGCACCTACAATAGTGCCTGGCATGTGAGTACTTGCTGAATGCGGGGGTCTACCCAGACCTGCCGACAAGATAGGTTGGAGGAGTGTCGGAGTTCATGGAAGAATTGCAGTGGGAGAAGAATTGCAATGGATAGTCTTTGGTCTCTAGGCGTGCTAGGAAGCAAGAAAGGGCCACAGGGACAGTGAACTGGGAGCCTGGAGGGTCAGCTCTTGGAAGTAATTATAGCAACAGAAGCACATTCCTCTGGCAGGAGATCATGGGAGAGGTAGATGGTCAATAGGTGATTGTTGCAGAAGGGAATTTCCCAAGGTTTACATATTAGTGGCAGGGTTAGTAGGGAACTAATTTTGCTGGGAAGGGACTCTATCACTTTTTGTTTCTGCCTTAACAAAGAGCCTCCTGAGTGGTGGTAAGTAGAGCAAGTTATGCCATCAAAGGCTTTTTTCTTATTGGAGAACTAGAGGGCCAGTGGTCCAGTGCACAAATTCGTGCACAGGTGGGGTCCCTCCACCTGGCCTGCGATTGGGGCCAGCCAGCTGGGGGGAGGGACCGCGGGAGGTTGGCCAGCCGTAGGAGGTTTGCTGTGGGAGTATATTGAGCACCAGGGGGCAGCTCCTGCGTTGAGTGTCTGCCCCCTGGTGGTCAGTGCGCATCATAGCAACCGGTTGTTTGGTCGCTTAGGCTTTTATATCTATAGATGTCTCTATGCGCTAATCTCAGTAAGCAGATATGCCAGTAATGTCTGTCAGACAATTAAACAGAGTTAGTGACATTATAAAATCAAACTTCAAAGTTAAATTTACAGCCCAGCCTGAGTGGCTCAGTGGTTGAGTGTCGACCCAGGAACCAAGAGGTCACCAGTTTGATTCTTTGGTCACGGCACATGCCCAGATTGCTGGCTATGATCCCCACTAGGGGAGGTGTAGGAGGCAGCCGATCGATGA